TGAGCACTTTAGCAATGAGGTTGCGACGAGGATATTTTATTCACGTATACAGAATTAAGGTATGGCTTTTGGTCCAGGTAATGCTTTCTCAGTTAGAGCCATTGCCCATTTATGTCTGTATGAATTTAGTTTATGTGGACTCATGTGCAAACACAAAATGTCTACTTAAGACTTCGATAAATATACGGCTTATCTAGATTAGTGTTTACCCAAATCATGGCCATTGTTTGGTTAGCAAATATGCGCAGTGCAAATAATCTACTATTTGACTAGGATTTTTTGTCATTTAAAATCTTTTGTCCCCATTTCGGACCCCCTAGAATTATGATTCATTTCCAAAGTTAAAAATTACATCTAATAGGTTATCCTAGTATCTCAGTTTCATCAGGCAGGCCTAGATTAAAATCTTTGTTATTCATTCAAGAGCTAAGTGAAATTATCACGAATTGGTTAATATGCAGACTCGATGATTGTCACAGTAAATGGAAGCCACATATTTCTGCCGCAAATGTTTGTTCGATGTTCCAGGTTCATATTAAGATCTACTGAAATTGACAGTCCTGTAGGTGGGTGAGGCATCGACTAATTTTTGTTTGGCAATTATCCACTACCACCTGTATGGAACTCAGAGCCAAGGGGAATTACTAAGTTCCCTTGCATTACTGTCTTCGCCTAATGTGTACATGACCACACGCATGTTGTATCAGAAAACGCCAGATCGCGACACTTCCCTCACACACATCGTTCCTGAAGCCTAGCCAGGACTGAAACTCCCGTAGATGACTCACTTTATGCCACACTAGTGATTGGACAGTAGATAGGAATTCTCAATAGGCAGGCTTTTGCGCATTTAGCTTTGGCTTGAAGGCGGAGGTGGTGCGCAAACATTGGTTGCCGTTATTTGGGTGTCTTTCTCTCCAATATCGTCGTGATACAAAGTTTTCAAGGCACCATTCAACATTGCTTCCTTCCTTTCCTAGAACACAGAATATTAAATGTTAAAATGTTTGAGGAAACAGTCTATTCAATTAAAGACCAATTCTGCAAACCCAACCTTGGTTATCAAAATTTGTTTGTATTCGCTCACTTTAAAAACTATTCCATGTCTAATTAGTGTTAATTGTCTGTAACCTTTTTCATTGTACTTGCAGTTTCAGTCATATGTGCGAGATCTTTTTTTTGCACAGTGCAGCAGCTCGATTGTAATCACCCTGCGAT